TCATTCTTTTTGACTTCGCTTCTTTCTCTCCTTCATTGTTCTCCTCCTTCTTCCTCCTCCTCTTCCTCCTTCTGCTCCTCCTCTTCCTTCCCCTTCCTCATCTTCTCCTTCCCTCCTCCTTCTTCTTCCTCCTGCTCCTCCTTCTGCTCCTTCCCTCTTCTCTCCTCTTCCCCTTTCTTCCCCTTCCTTCAGTTCCCTTCCATTACCCACTCCTCCTCCTCCTTCCCCTCCTCCATCTCCTCCTCCTCCTCTTTTTCTTCTTCCTCCTGCTCCTCCTTCTGCTCCTTCTCCTCCTCTTCCTTCCCCTTCTCTTTCTCTTCACCTTTCCCTTCAGTTCCTTTCCATTTCCCTTTCCTCCTCCTCCTCCCCTTCCTTTCCCTTCCTTCCTCTTCCCCTTTCTCCCTTTTCCATTACCCCTCTCCTCCTCCTCTCCTCCTCCTCCTTCTTCCTCCTACTCCTCCTCTTCCCCCTTCCCCTTCTCTTCCTCTTGTGTGCCATATTTAGTTCAATTCCATCATTGGTGGAGTTCAGAATGCTCTTTGATTGTAGGTGAACTATACATCCCAGTAACTACAACTCGAATATGTCAGGGTCTACTTTCCCCAAAGAGTGCCTCAAGAGCACCCTGGGCAAAATCAACTATACTGCAAATGCTTACTTTGCGTAATGGGTTGAGCCGGTCCCTGGTCAAAGTGGTCCCTGGTCAAAGTGGTCCCTGGTCAAAGTGGTCCCTGGTCAAAGTGGTCCCTGGTCAAAGTGGTCCCTGGTCACAGTGGTCCCTGGTCAAAGTGGTCCCTGGTCAAAGTGGTCCCTGGTCAAAGTGGTCCCTGGTCAAGTGGTGCCTGGTCACTGATCTAGGTGTTATGCTTCTATTGACACAGACTTTTCACTGGATAGAATGAATTATAGAATGGGAGCTTCCGGGAGTCTGGAGATGATCCAGGAGTCTAGATTTCTGGTTCAGGAGTGTCTGATGTCATGTTACAAAGGTTCCAGGTTAGCCTCTAGTGACATCATGAAGTGTGATGGATTAAGCACCAACTTTAGCTGCTCACACCTTGTTATTCAAATATATGCACACCGCCACATCTCACGTTCCTCTGTTTAGAAATTGACTACAAAAGTTGTGCATCCTGTCAGGGATGCAGTATGTGCCACCTTAAAGTTCTGAGTCATCCTCAGATACAGGATCTCAGCGGAGGCAGAAAGTTGTGTGGGTGGATCAATGCCCTTTCCAATGCCCTTCAGGTTTTTCAAATGTCTTGAAATACCCAAAGTACTGCCACACAGATGGCAAAAACAAAATCTATTCTCCGTTGCCCCAAAAGGCAGGATTAGCTCACATAGATTGAAAAAATATATACTATTGTTAATCCAAACTATCACAAAAAAAAACATTGAGGTGGTTTTACATCTCCAAATTTTATTACATAATTTGAAAACAATTCTGTTCCTGGTTTGAAAGTGTTATTTCCTGTTTAATTGCACGGTGCTTATGTTGAAAGTAGTTTTTCTACTTAAGAAATTTTGTTTCTGTGGCTGTCACAAACTAGGTTGGATTGGTGGATATTAGATATTCATTGAAAAACTAGAGCCAGAATGTCCCACCAAAAGAAAGTTTTCTTTGCAATTTAATAAGCTTTTTTCTATGTTATTATGATACAACCCAATCTCCCTGTTGTGCCACCTCTACAAAGTTCTGGAGAGACTTATTTTGCATAGAATTATGGAAAAAATAGACCCCTGTCTGATTCCACAGCAAGCTGGCTTCAGGAAAGGCAGAAGCTGCACATCGCAAGTGCTGAACCTGACTCAGCACATAGAAGATGGCTTTGAAAGGCAGCAGATCACAGGAGCTGTCTTCATAGACCTGTCAGCAGCCTATGAGACTGTGAACCACTGCCTCCTCCTGAGAAAAATGTATAATATCACAAAGGACAACCACCTCACCCGCCTCATAGGAAACCTGCTACAAAACAGGAGCTTTTTTGTTGAGTTCCAGGGCCAGAGAAGCAGATGGCGGAAACAGAAGAACGGCCTGCCTCAGGGAAGCGTGCTTGCTCCATCCATGTTCAACATCTACAAAAATGACCAGCCACTGCCAGAAGGGACAGAGAGCTTCATCTATGCTGATGATTGTGCCATTACTGCTCAAGCAGGGAGCTTTGAGATGGTTGAACAGAAGCTCTCCGAAGCTCTAGGTGCTCTTACTGCCTATTACAGGGAAAACCAGCTGATTCCCAACCCATCTAAAACACAGACATGTGCCTTTCACCTTAAGAACAGACAAGCATCCCGAACTCTGAGGATCACCTGGGAAGGAATCCCACTGGAGCATTGCAGCGCACCCAAATACCTGGGAGTCACTCTGGACCGTGCTCTTGACCTACAAGAAGCACTGCCTGAACATCAAGCAAAAGTGGGTGCTAGAAACAATATCATACGAAAGCTGACTGGCACAACCTGGGGATCACAACCAGACACAGTGAAGACATCTGCCCTTGCGTTGTGCTACTCTGCTGCTGAGTATGCATGCCCAGTGTGGAACACATCTCACCACACTAAAACAGTGGATGTGGCTCTTAATGAGACATGCCGCATTATCACGGGGTGTCTGTGCCCTACACCACTGGAGAAATTACACTGTTTAGCTGGTATTGCACCACCTGACATCCGCCGGGAAGTAGCAGCCAATAATGAAAGGACCAAGGCAGAGACATCTCCAGCTCATCCCTTGTTTGGGCATCAGCCAGCACGTCAATGACTTAAATCAAGAAATAGTTTTCTAAGATCTACAGAGACACTCGCTGGAACACCTCAGCAAGCGAGAGTCCAAAAGTGGCAGGCTCAAACCCAGAACCTCAACCAATGGCTGATACCAAATGAGAGACTCCCCCCTGGGAACACAAAAAAACTGGGCGACTTGGAAGGCGCTGAACAGACTGCGCTCTGGCACCACGAGATGCAGAGCCAACCTCAAGAAATGGGGCCACAAAGTGGAATCCACGAATGCGAGTGTGGAGAAGAGCAAACCACTGACCACTTGCTGCAATGCAACCTGAGCCCTGCCACATGCACAATGGAGGGCCTTCTTGCGGCAACACCAGAGGCACTCCAAGTGGCCAGATACTGGTCAAAGGACATTTAATCAACTACCAAACTCACAAATTTTGTATTTTGTCTGTTTGTTTGCTTTGTTCTGTTAGAAATGTAATATAATTGACTGGTTGCCCTGACACGACAAATAAATAAATAAATAAATGATAGAACCAATTAGGAAATGACATTTATAACCCAGGAACAAAAATCATGTTACATCGTGTAATTTAAGCTACACAAATGACACTGTACTTGTGTCAACAACTAGCAAAGGTTTGGAACAGTTATTGAAGAGAGTTAAAGCCGAAAGTGCTAAGGCAGATTTGCAATTGAACAGCAAAGTAACATAAGATGGAAAAAAATTAGAATCTATTAGGGAACGACATTTTATCACCCAGCAACAAAAATCATTTTGCATAGTGCTATTCACAGATTTGATTAATATGTTCTCTCGAGATTCCATCCGATGTTGACGATAAAGTCTGACTGTATGAAGACGCAGGTTCGCAGCTTGGGTGTGATCCTGGACTCATCGCTGAGCCTGGAACCCCAGGTTTCGGCGGTGACCAGGGGAGCATTTGCACAGCTAAAGCTTGTGCGCCAGCTGCGCCCGTACCTTGGGAAGTCTGACTTGGCCACGGTAGTCCACGCTCTGGTTACATCCCGTTTAGACTACTGCAACGCTCTCTACGTGGGGTTGCCTTTGAAGACAGCTCGGAAGCTCCAACTAGTCCAACGCTCGGCAGCCATGATTTTAACAGGAGCGGAGCGCAGGGAGCATACAACCCCCCTGTTGCGCCAACTCCACTGGCTACCGATCTGCTACTGGGCTGAATTCAAAGTGCTGGCATTGGCCTTTAAAGCCCTAAACGGTTCCGGCCCAAGCTACCTATCCGACCGCATCTCTGCCTATGAACCCACCAGGACTTTGAGATCTTCCGGGGAGGCCCTGCTCTCGATCCCGCCTGCTTCTCAAGCACGGCTGGCGGGGACGAGAAATAGGGCCTTCTCGGTGGTGGCTCCTCGGCTGTGGAACGCCCTTCCTACGGACATTAGACTAGCACCATCTCTAATGGTATTCCGCAAAAAAGTGAAGACCTGTTTGAGCAGGCGTCCGAATAATTAGTGCAATGATTGGTTAATGAACACTGGAATGGAACAATGGATGATGAATCTGGAACATGTTTTTGATGACAAGACGACAGTGAATGGGTATTGTAGTAACTATTAATTGTGTAATGTGTTAGGTTGTTAACTGTTTCTATACTGTAGCACTGAATTTTTGCTGTTCGTATTTGTTGTGAACCGCTGTGAGTCACCTTCGGGCTGAGAACAGCGATATATAATAGGGCTGGGCAACCACGGAAAAATTTGTTTCTAAATTCGATTTGTTTTTAGGGGGGGTTGCGTTTCATTTTTTAAAAGAATTCCGAAATTTTTCTTTAAAAAAGTTTGATATTTACGAAATTTCGGAAATTACGAAACAATTTCGAAACAATAACGAATCGATTCGTTAATGGCGGACGCGATTGCGCAATACGCTAAAAAAACCTCCAAATGGGACAGGGGGAACTTCTGAAGCTTCCCTCTCCCTCTGTTGTTGACTGTTGGTGTGATAATATATTTTTTATCACTGATAAAACAAACAACAACCCTAAAACTTGCACCAGACATACGGAAATAATAACGAAATAATAACGAAACAATTTCGAAACAATTTCGAAACAATTACGAAACGAATTGGAAAAATTAGTTTCGTTTTTTAGTTGCTCCTGAATGGTTCAATATCGCTTCGTTATCAAAAAAAATAACGAATTAATAACGAATTACAAAATTAACGAACGAAACCGCCCAGCTCTAGTATATAAGTAAGGTAAATAAATAAATAAAATAATAATAATAATAATAATAATAATAATAATAATAATAATAATATGGTCTCAGGATTCCCGGAGAGAGCAATTTTTAATTCTTACGTAGATCATACAGTCTTCACCGCGGAGGACCTGGAGATTTGAAATGTTTTCTTAGAAACGTCTGATATAGTTGACCATGTTGTCTGCTCCTTCTTTGCAAATCGAAAAAGCAAAAGGCTTATTGTTGATAAAATTCAGAAATCCATGGAAGCCGTCCTCTAAGTGGCACCAGGTGACCGAGACCCCATTGTCCTCCAGACGCTTCTTGTACAAAACCCCGTCGTCTCTCAAGGCATCAAACTGACAGGTCAAAATGAAAGTGTCCGGAAGCCGCCGGATTATAGTGTCCTCAACCAATAGTGGAGAGAGGAGTGGCCCACACAACTGGTCGACAAGCTCCTCCATACTCCCAAAGGAGAAACCGTGCGAAGTTCTAGCTTTGGTTTCCCTCCCTCTAAATTCTTCCGGGAGGTTCTCTTTGCTCAGCCATTTATCATATTTGGCCTTCACCTCCTTGGAGACATGGGCTCCTTGTAGGATCACCTCCAGGAGGGAGACTTCTTTCTGGATGTACTTCAAGGCCAGTGTCACCAGGCCTATCTTGCCTAAGGGAGGTGAATGGAGATTTTGCATGTAGGAAGGCAGGCTGTGCTTCACGGACTGAAGAAAAGGGTACACCAACATCTGAGCGCATAATTTGGGGGCACCATCCTTCTGGATGAGCATCTGGGAAACGGACGCTGCTACCAATCCTCCGAAGCTGTCCCCCCAGATTATCACCCGACTGGAATCAACCCCGTACTCTTCGGCATGTTTCATAAAATGAATGGCAACGTCCAGGCATTGGTAGTATTGCACCGGATAGGGCTGGTAAGGAACCAGAGAGTACCTTTGAAAATGAGAAAAAAAAGGGGTTCACATTTGTCTCGTGGTGCTACAAATCTGAACCAAGAGGGTTGAATCCTATTGTCAGTTGCAACAAGAGTAGAATCATTGGATTAATGGGTTTCACTTAAGTGTTGCTTCATAGGATCTTGGCATTGGAAGAGGCCACAATGATTATTTATTTATTTATTAACACTATTTATTAGGCTTGGGTAACCACGGAAAAATTTGGTTCTAAACTCATTTTGTTTTTAGGGGGCCCTTGCGTTTTGTTTTTGCCTGGCTCCCCCTCCCCTCCTCCTCCTCCCTCCTCCTCCTCCTCCTCCTCCTCCTCTTCTCCTCCTCCTCCTCCTTCTTCTTCTTCTTCTTCTTCTTCTTCTTCTTCTTCTTCTCCTCCTCCTCCTCCTCCTCCTCCTCCTCTTCCTCCTCCTCCTCCTCCTCCTTCTCCTCCTCCTCCTCCTCCTCCTCCTCCTCCTCCTCCTCCTCTTCTTCCTCCTTCTCCTTCTCCCTCCTCCTTCCTCCTCCTCTCCTCCTCCTCTTCCTCCTCCTCCTCTTCCCTCCTCCTCCTCCTCCTTATCCTCCTCCTCTTCTCCTCCTCTCCTCTTCTCCTCTTCCTCCTCCTCTTCCTCCTCTCCTCCTCCTCTTCCTCCTCCTTCCCTCCTCCTCCTTCTCTCCTCTTCTCCTCCTCCTCTCTCTCCTCCTCTCTCTCTCTCCCCTTTCTCCTCCTCTTCCTCCTCCTCCTCCTCCTCCTCCTCCTCCTCCTCCCCCCCATGGCTCCCCAAGGGGGGGAGGTAAAAAAACCCGTGAAAAACGAGTCCACAATAAGCGAACCGGAACACTATACTTTCAAAGTAAACAAAGTACAGGAAATAACACTTTCACACTGGGATATTTTTTTTTTCAAATTTTGCTGTTACATAGTGTAATAGTTGTGTTCCGTCTCCCAGGAGCCCGGTTTGCCTTACCTTAAGATGCCTCCCCTTACATTTCTCTCAGGAGCCGCTGCAACCTTGCAAAGCTTAAAGGTTAACAGTCTCGGAAGCAGGAAGGCCTGCCTGCAGGCCTCTTTGCAGTAATTGGCCCAGAGGGCAGTTTTTGAGCCCGCCCCTTCTCCCAGGGAAAGTCCTCCATTTTAGAGGCCTCCCTGCCCTTTCAGTCGGGAAGAATAATTCAGATGTGCTAGAGGCCAGCAAGAAAGCCCTGAGAAACCATTGCAAGTACTAAACTAAGTACATTGGGATAATTTGAGATAGATATTGATAATTAAATTAAGATAGAGATAGATAAAGTGATAATAAATTAGGCTATAGATAGAAAGATAAACTAAATAATTTGGGGAAAAATGCAAGAGGAAGCAACCTCAAGCAACTATAAATAAGGCAAATCAGGCTCCTGGGAGACGGAGCAGGTCGCAATATCATGGAAACGTCCTTTCAACCTATACCAACATTAAAATTTTATTACATAGTGTTACACTGTTCAATGGAGAAAAAGTTGCGGGCCTGAAAATAGTTGTTCTTTTATGATTTTGGGGTGCTGAAAATGAAAATGACATTTAAAAATGTATATTGGCTCTAGTTTTTATGATATAAGCAATCACGTGATCACGTATGGTTGAAAAAATGCATGTTGCGACTTACACTATGGAAGATTCTAGAATATTCTAGAAAGTTTGATGACGCAGTATTAGTGCCGTGTGCAAAAGCCAGAAAGCCCTATATAAGGCCAGACTTTTGAACGGTGAGGGTCAGTCAGTTGAAGACTGAGACAGTATCGTTAAACATTGTTTTACATTGTTCTTTTTACTGTAGTTATGCCTCGCACGTGTGTAAATAAAGCACTATGGAAAAAAGATATCAAGGCAAATGGACTCCGTCAATGCTGTCAGACTACTGCTGGAGCATTGTAAGAGACACTCCTTTCCTTGAATACAAAAGAAAAGTCAAGAGAAGCAAACAGGATATAAACTAAAGTCACGATTAAAGCGACATTTAAACTTTCAGACTTTTCAACTGCATTAGGCCTACTAATATAGTTTCTTGCTGCACAAACATAAACAATAGACTAATTAAATAAATATTTCTCATGTATAAACTATTGGCAATATAATTTGACTAAAATTTAGTAAATATTCATGGTTTATATACATGCAGTAAGGTTAGGCGCATTATCATAATATTAACGAATTACCTATTGTGGAGAAAATTGAAATAGCTGTTGCATAAAAACCAGAGCCAATTAACACATTTAATTTAGCCTGTTTGATCAAGAAAAAATTTGTTTCTAAAATCGATTTGTAATTGGGGTGTTTTTTTGTTTCGATATTTAAAATAATTACAAAACTTTCCAAAAAAAGTTTTGGTATTTAAGAAATTTTGTAAATATTAACGAATTTTTAGAATATTTTTTGTATTTCTTAAGAATAATATTAAAATAATATTAAAAAATATTTTAAAATGGAAAATTAACCAAAAAATGGCCCAAATGTGGACCAAACACAGGCAGGATACAGCAAATGAGAGCACACACCAACAGAAGAGTCTTTTCTTTTTTAGAATATTTTTTAAGAATAATATTAAAATAATATTAAAAAATAATATTAAAATAATATTAAAAATATTTTAAAATGGAAAATTAACCAAAAAATGGCCCAAATGTGGACCAAACACAGGCAGGATACAGCAAATGAGAGCACACACCAACAGAAGAGTCTTTTCTTTTTTAGAATATTTTTAAGAATAATATTAAAAAATAATATTAAAAATAATATTAAAAATAATATTAAAAATAATATTAAAAATAATATTAAAAATATTTTAAAATGGAAAATTAACCAAAAAATGGCCCAAATGTGGACCAAACACAGGCAAGAGACAGCAAATGAAGCAAGCAGCACTCACAGCAGCAAGGAATGAATCCAATCCCAGTTGCTAGCAGCCATTGCCAAGCCAACCCAATGCAAACTCCCTCGCCCTCTGCAGCAAGCTACGGGCCGCGCGGAGCCGCTTTGAAAGGGCTCGCCGGCCAATCAAAAACAGACAGCCACGGACCCATGGTGCACTGCTTGGGAGCGCCGGATTGGCTCCCAGGCACCAGCACTCCAGCAGCCTCCACCCCATTAACGAAACGAGCGGAGGCTCGTTAAAACTATGGGGGTTGCTGGTTCGATATTTAAAAACCCTTCCGGGTTTGGTAATATGTTTCAATATCGCTTCGGAAATGCCAAAATAACGAATTAATAACGAATTAACGAATTAACGAACGAAAACCGCACAGGCCTATTAATTATTATATTTGAATTCAGCATGTTAAATTTATTAAGAAACGGCACATTTCGTTTCCGAAACTGAGAAAAACTGAAAAGTTGTAGAACAGTGTTATGTAACTGGTTTAGGTCTCCTAGGGTTGCTTGGGGATATCAGAGACATTGTTTTATCTTTACTTACCCAATGGATAAAATGACTGAGTCACTTTCTTTGGAGAGATAGCGGCACAGTGGGTCATAGGAAGCTGGAAAAGAAAAGATGTTCTTTAGCCTTCCCTGCCAAAAACTGTTGGTGTCTCACCAAGATACAACTCTACCTTTAATCTTGTTTAAGAGACGATAATATGCCGGATAATCCTAATTATAACTACCATAACACTGACTCATGGCAGTTAAAGAGATGCCAAACTATGTTAAGTGTAAATGCGCCTACAGAGAGAATAGCTGCTATTGCATAGGAACTAGTTTTCTAATGCTTGAGATAACGAGAGACGTCTGATGATAAACTGATAAGCTGGGGAACCTTCCATGCTTCAAAGTTATAGCACTAGGCTTGGGTAACAACGGAAAAATTTGTTTCTAAACTCGTTTCGTTTTTAGGGGTCCATCACGTTTCATTTTTTTAAAGAATTCCGAAATTTTCCTTTTAAAAATTTCGAAATTTACGAAATTTCGTAAAATTACGAATCAATTCGTTAATGGCGGACGCGATTGCGCAATATGCTAAAAAAACCTCCAAATGGGACAGGGGGAACTTCTGAAGCTTCCCTCTCCCTCTGTTGTTGACTGTTGGTGTGATAAAACAAACAACAACTATAAAACTTGCACCAGACATGCGAAAATAATTACGAAATAATTTCGAAATAATTACGAAATAACGAAATAATTACGAAATAAATTGAAAAAAATGTTTCGAATCTAATTTACTCCTCACACTATTCCTGCATGGCTCAATATTGGATCGTAAGCTAATTTAAATACGAATTAATAACGAATTACGAAATTAACGAACGAAACCGCCCAAGCCTATATAGCACTATGATTCCATTTTGCATTTGTGCCAGTTGTAAGCCACCCTGAGTCCCCCCATGGGGGTTGAGAAGGGCGGGGTAGAAATGCTTGAAATAAATAAATAAATAAATTTTGACTGACACAGTTCTATCCTGTGAGGTCCTGGGATTAGTGCCTCCGCAAACTACAACCCCCTGGAATTCAAGAGGACACAGCCCAAGGCATTTTCTCATACGACTAAAGTTCTATACTATATAGTGTGAAACGATGCTGAGTTACATGATTAGACCATGGCAGGAAGCTATAATTGGTCTGAACATGACCCCAAGCTCATTTGAACATTTTGAGAAAGAGAGAGAGATAGAGAGGAAGGAGGGAGAGAGGGAAAGAAGGAAGGAGGGAAGGGAGGGAAGGAAGAAGAAGAAGGAGGGAGGGAAGGATGAGAGGAAGAAAGGAAGAAAAGGGAAAAAGGAAGGAAGGAGGGGAGGGAGGAGGGAGAAAAGGAAGGAAGGAAGGAGGGGTGGAAAGAGGGAGGGAAGGAAGGAAGAAAAAAAGAAAGAGGGAGGGAGGAAAGGGAGGAAGGAAGGAAGGAAGGAAGAAGGAAGGAAAAAGGGAGAAAGAGAGAAAAGGAAAGGAAGGAAGAAAGAAGGAGGAGGAAGGGAAGAAAGGAAAAAAAGAAGGGATGGAAGGAAGGAAGGAGGGAGGAAGGAGAAAGAAGAGGGGAAAAGAGGAGGGAGGGAGGGAAGGAAGAAAAGGAGGAGGGAGGGAAGGAAGGATAGGAGGAAAGAAAGAGAGAAGGAGGGTGGGAAGGAGGGAAGGAACGAAAGAGGAGGATGGAAGGAGGAAGGAAGAAAGGAAAGAAAGAAGGATGAAGGAGGAAGGAAGGGAAGGAAGGAAAGAAGGATGGAGAAAGGAAGAAGGTAGGTAGGTAGGTAGGTAGGTAGATAAATCGATCAGGAGGACTGCTGGAAGTTGCAATCCAAGAATAGGTAGAGAAGGAAGAATGGGGAGAAAGAGTAAGGGAAAGAAAAGGGAGGAAGGAAGGAAGGAAGGAAGGAAGGAAGGAAGGAAGGAAGGATGGAAGGAAGAGGGAGGGAAGGAAGGGTAGGAGGAAAGAGGAGGAAGAAGAAGGGAGGAAGGAAAGAAGAAAGAAGGAAGAGAGAAAGAGGGGAGGGAAGGAACGAAAGAAGGATGGAGGAGGAAGGGAAGAAGGAAAAAAGGATGGAAGGAAGAGGAAGGAAGGATAGGAGGGAGGGAGGACAGAAAGAAGATGGGGAAAAGAGGAGGGAAGGAAGAAAAGGAGGAAGAAGGGAGGGAGGAAGGAAGAGGAGGAAAGGAGGAAGTAAAGGGAGGAAGGGAGAAAAAAAAAGAGAAGGAGGGGGAAGGAGGGAAGGAACGAAAGAGGAGGAGGAAGGAGGAAGGAAGGAAAGAAAGAGGAGGAAGGAGGAAGGAAGGGAAGGAAAGAAAGAAGGATGAAGGAAGGAAGAAGGGCAGGGAAGGAGGGAGGGAAGAAAGAAGGAGAAGGGGAGGGAGGGAAGGAAGAAAGAAGGAAGGGGGAAAGAGGAAGGAAGAGGGAAAAAGGAGGAGGGAAGGAAGACGGGAGGAAGAAGGAAGGGGAGGAGGAAAGGAAGGGAGGAAGAAGGGAGAAGAAGAAGAAGGAAAGAGGAGGGAAGGGAAGGAAGGAAGGAAAGAAAGAAGGATGGAAGGAGGGAGGAAGGGAAGGAAGAAAGAAGGATGGAAGGAGGGAAGGAAGGAAAGAAGGATGGAAGGAAAAGGGGAGGGAGGGAAGGGCAAAGAGGATGGAAGGAAAAGGGGAGGGAGGGAAGGGCAGGAGGAAAGGAAGGGAGAGAGGAAGGATGAAGGAAAGAAGGAAGAAAAGAGGAAGGAGGGAGTGAAGGAAGGAAAGAAGGAAGAAAAGAAGGATGGAAGAAGGGAAGCAAAATTTGAAGAATGAATATTTGAAGTAGGATGTTCCTTGAAAGAAAAGTTTTCATGGGCTCTCTTGATTGTCCTGTATTCATCATTACCAATGCTTCCAGTGGTACCACCTCCTCCATGAATGAAAAGGACCCCTCTCTGCAAAAGTCGGTGTGGTTTGGGCCGATATAACCTCACAGGGACGCCCTCTATGTGGGTATTGCAGATGGAGAGGGATGGATCCTTGGACACAAAAAAAGGTGTGTCCAGGATGAAGTTCGCCAGAGCAAAGTCTGTCTTTACGATGCCTATTTTCTTCAAAACGTAATCCTGTTTTGAGATGAGAGGAAAAAAAATCAGAGTTTTAAAAAAACTGGGCTGAATGTTCTTCATTTTCCATTTTGTAAAAGTTAGCATAGGTTAGGCAGCTATGCAAGATTAAAGACCATATAAACCCACCAGGAGACCCAATACTCACAAATACCAAATAGGGTACCACGCTTTCATGCCCATAACATATTTCTTGTTCATTCAATAGCTGCATATAAACAAATGCAGTTTGCTACCACTTTAACTACCATGGGACAATGTTGTGGAATCATGGGAACTGTAATTCCACTGCTGCTGAAGCAACAAGATCAGCTTTGCCCAGGGCCATGCTATTCAAAATTTGGCGACCCAGAAGGGACTTCCTTGGAGTAGCTCACATAGTCCAACACGCATATTGGTACCGCAAACGTGAGCCCTGTTTTTGGGTATATTTGACCTGCCAATTCCAAAAATTTCACCCATTCTTCCCATCAGCTCTAGTTTGTGAGATAAAGAACATATGCCATCTACCAGTTGCCATCTGTTCACTGATAGAAAGCCATGATAACCATTAGGCTTGGTTGATACAGTTCGTTAATCTCTTAATTCATTATTAATTCGTTAAATAATTACCTTTAGAAGCGATATCGACGCGTTTTGGCAACCCGGAAGTGTTTTTGCCATATCGAAGCCGCGCCCCCATCTTCCTTACAACTTCCACCAGTAAATCGTAAATGCTGGGGGCGTGGCCTTTAGGAACAGCTGTTCTTACCCACGCCCACCTCCTTCCTCTTTGCATTGGCGGCTTTGCGAGGTGGGCGTGACTACCTCCCTGGTGACAAGCAGCGATGCGGAAGAGCTGGGCATAGCCACGCCCACCTCGCAAAGCCGCCGATGCAAAGAGGAAGGAGGTGGGCATGGCCAAGCACAGCGCTCCTCGCTCGGGGTCGCTGGGGGCAAGGCTTCCGAGGAGCGCTGTGCTCGGCCACACCCACCTCTCCCTTGGACAGCTTGCCAGGGAAGAGAAAAAAAGGTGATGTTGGGGTTCAGTTTTCTACTTGAACCTGATTCTCTGTTTGTTCCTCCTGATGCTAATGAAAATATATTTACTGATGCTAATGGAAATGTACCTTTTGATGCCAATGCTCCTGAAATTAGTGAGGAAGAAACTGCTGTAGGTTTGGAAAATGCCAATGTTCCTGAAATTAGTGAGGAAGGAACTTCTGTAGATTTGGAAAATGAAAGTACCAGTGTTCATGAGAATGTTTCAGAGGGAAGCCATGACCTTTCACTCCCTTCTGCACCTGGGAACCTTAATGAGAACAGAAGGGGCCAGATTTGGCAAGACAGAAGTAAATCACTCAGCTTGCGAAGGTCTTCCCAATTAAAAGAAATACAAACAATGGCTTCAAAGCAGAGGGGCGGTTCACGGAACCAATTCTTCGGCTTGAAGTGCCTTCCGCCGGGCTGACTTTCTCAGTTCAGGCATCGTTTCAGATTAATGAAGACCTTGGCAGTTCTCCTGGTTTCCCTGGCCATGGTCTTGAAAGATTTCTAGGATATCAAGCATGGTTAGTGGATTGCTAACAGGTTCCAGTATTTTACAGTGTGGCTTTGGGTTTTGCTTTGTCCATTTAAATTCATGTTTGCTGATTTTGCTGTGGCTTTTGACTTGCATTTTCCTTTATTTTGTAACCATTTTTCTTCAATAAAAAAGGATTGTTTTTCACAGTCAAGTGTGGTGGATAGTTATCTTAGGGCCTCGTTCCCTGCTCTGGATTGCAACAGGTGAGAGATTTTAAAACCAACACTTTTGAAATCTCTCACCTTTCTTCTCTTCCCTGGCAAGCTGTCCAAGGGAGAGGTGGGAGTGGCCAACCACAGCGCTCCTCGCTCGGAGGTTGCTGGGGGCGAAGCCTCCGTGGAGGGCTGTGCTTAGTCACGCCCACCTCTCCCTTCTGCCGCAAGGGAAGGAAGGGAAACTGCGAGATTTCAATGGTTCTGGAGGGAAGGAAGGGCACCTTCCATTAACGAAACAAAGGAAATGATTCGTATTTCCTGGTAATTTTCATCTTTTTTTAAAGAAAATTTTGGAAATAATTTAAAAATTGAACCTCCAGCGCCCCCTACATACGAAACAAGTTTAGAACCATTTTTTTTCTTGATCAACCAAGCCTAATAACCATATCTCAGAAACTAGAGCTGATGCTGTCTCTCCACTGCAATTTTTCTGAATCAGTATACCAAATAACCCCAGGAACCAGCCTAAAACACCAGGACACCAACTATATGCTTTTTGTTATGTATGTTATTAGTGAGGAATAATGATTCAAGAGTTCTTGGTGGCTCGTTTTGAGCTGAAGAAACCTTTGGCTGTTGCTGAGAGTAGTTATGCAGCATCCTGAAGCTGAAGACTGAAGCCTTTTGGAGTGCCAAGGAAGCTGCTTGTTTATGGCAAGATAAGGACATTCTACTGATAACTAAGTAGAGAGACTGTATTTTTTTGCTATATGTTTGCTTATCATTGTGTAAATAAGAAGACTCACCGGAGATATTGTTTGTTGTATATTGGTTAGAACAATTCTTCTGTTTTGTTTTGTGTTTTAAAAGAATTTTATTAGATTTTATAAAGAATACAACAAAAGAGCGAGAACAATAAAAGTATAGAAAAGTGAGGGGGGGGAAGAAGAGATAAAGATAAAACACATTCTACAAAAATACACAAAAAGCAAAATGGGGAAAAAGGCAAAAACACAAAAAAAAAAACACCAAAAAAAAGAAGTGACTTCCATTTCGTCTTCTTGGTTATTATTTTCTTATTACTCAAAAATATTTTCCTTACTAAATAGAGAAAAAAGATAGTAAAATTGTCTCTCTTGTTTTTTTTTTATTTTCTCACATTGTCCAGATAGTCTTGAAGATCATCCCAATTCGTTCTTCTCATTATCTTGCCTGTGTTTTTCTTCAACAAAAAAGTCAATTCGTCCATATCCTTTATTTCTCTAATTTTCTCCACCCCTGTATGGATGGGACTGAATCTTGTTTCCATTCTCTAGCAAAAACAATTCTAGTGGTGGTCGTAATATAAGTAAAAAGTTTATCTTCTTTTTAAAAAAATAATCTTTATTGAGGTTTTCTTAAAATATGTATATAGGTAAAAGTAGTGAAAGAGAAGAGGGGAAGAAGAGAAAGAAAAAAGAGAGAAAGAGAAATAAAGAAATAAAATAGGGGGTTTCTCGACCTCCTGATGTCTTCTGTGAATCTTCTGTTCGATCTTGTTCTGAAAAAATAAAAAAGCAAACTCTTTATTTTCTTTCTATTCTCTTAATCTTTCCCTTCTTTTATTGTGTTTCCGTCTTCATTTCTCTTCTTCAATTTAAATCAATGTCTCTTTTTTCTTCTTCCTTAAGTATTCAGTGACATCTTTCCAGTCCGTTTCTTTTCTTCCAATTTCTTTATTTTTCAATAATAGAAAGGTAAGTTTTTCTAGGTTGCTGATATCTAGCATTTTTATTATCCAATCGTCTTCTTCCGGCATTTCTGTTTGTCTCTATTTTTAGCATAACACATCCTTGCGGCTGTTAATGCTAAAAATAATATTTTATCTTTGTCTTTTTCCAAATTCTTGTCATACATTCCTAGCAAGAACAACTCAGGTTTCATTGGTATTTTTATTTTTAACATATCTTGAATTTCTTTTTGTATCTTCTTCCAGTAATCTTTCGCTTTATCGCAGGCCCACCACATGTGGAAATAGGAGCCTTCTTTCTTCTTGCATTTCCAACAAGTCGAACTTGTGTTATCATATATTTTTCCTAGTTTTTTCGGGGTCAGATACCACCTTAATGAAAAAGTTTATCTTCTTGTTCCGTCAATTGTAAATCTAAGTCTGTAAATCCTAACAGATAATACTCCGGGGTTTTTTAAAATAAAGGTTTTTTAAAAAAATCTTTTGTGTTTCTTCGTGAATTTTCGTCCAGAACTTTACTGCTTCTTTACATTTTTTGTTTTGTGTTTTTTGTATACAGTGAATAGAACTACATTTTTGTTTCTACTTAAAGCAACAGACTCATGTGTATTTTTTGAGTTTTTGTCACACTGAGAGTAAAGGGGGCTGAGACATTCTGCGGGGTGCTAATGCTACTCTGACATCGCCAGACTACAAGTTAGGGGTGTACATCTTGGCAAAAACCTGTGCTGTTTTCAATCCTGTTTTTAGCTCCCCCACCCACCATTATGTTTGCTGGGAAAATCTCCAAATTGAGAGGGGGGTTCCATTTTCGTTCCAGTAAGATTCAATCTATTACTGCCAATGGGGAAATTTTAGATGCTCATTTATCCACCACTTTTTAGGCCTATCAGGAAGAAACTTGCCTTAGTTATAGGCTACATTTATGAGTGCAAGTCTGCCAAGTCTGCATTGCCCCATCTTCTCCTCGAAGAGGTCCTATCACCTCCTTGTTTTTCCTTTTTCTATTGACATAAGAAAAGAAGCCCTTTTTATTGTTTTTAATGTCCCTGGCAAGCCTGAGCTCGTTTTGTGCTTTAGCCTTGTGGTCCTTTTCCCTACAGGTGTTGGCTATTTGTTTGAATTCTTCTTTGGTGATTTCTCCCTTTTTCCACTTCTTGTGGAAACCACCAGACTCATTTTCATGTATTCAGCAGCCCAATCCCGCAAACCCGGTACAACAAGACGATATCGTGCACATCCCTACTACAAATACTAGAGTTCCATAGCATTGGGTCATGGCGGTTAAAGTGGTGTCAAACTGCATTCAAAGCTATAGATAGCTTTGTTGAGTCTCCACGAATTTAGCGAAGTTATAACAGTGCCGGTTATAACTACCAAGAGTAATCATATCCCAAGGGGGAAGCCAGGTATAGAAATAACACAACTATGTTGATATTGCAGTGCAGGATTGTTGGCTATGCCAATGTAATTGGCTTATACCACCATCTAGGGCTCACATAAAGTCATTGCATTTAACTGGGAGGGAAAACAAAAGAGGCAGAGTTAAGTATTTTTAACCCTGTAAATGCTAGGTTTTGGGTTTTTCAATGATAGATGTAAATCAGTCCAATCTACAAATATGACAACTAGGCTGAAAGGATGGCATTCCTTGTCCAAAAGGTTTAGGGCCCAAAGAATGTAGGAATAACTGCATTTGCATATATGTCAATGACGAGTATAAACAAAGTATGTGGTCATGAAATATCACTATGCAATAAAAATTGAAAAAAAAATGTTCTGTTCCTGCCTTGGAAGTGTTGTTTCCTGCTTAATTGTGTGGTCCTTACTCTGAAAGTAGTTGTTCTACTCAAGACACAGACTATGTTGCATTGGTTGAGATAGTCATTGAAAATCTAGAGCAAAGCATGCTGCAGGACATCCCTCCCGCAAAGACAAAGATTTTGAAGTTTTGAAGCAATGGATTCAAATTGCAGAAGAGGACACTCCACCTCAAGTTTAGGAAGACCATCCAGAGGGAAAGAGCTGTACTGCAATGGAATATGCTTCTAACTGTTCGTTCAGTTAAGAGGTGGCATTGTTTTGATTGTGTTGAGTCTCTTCCAACTCAAGTTGGGTCTCTTCCAACTTAAGTATTATTATTATTATTATTATTATTATTATTATTGAGACCCCAGTGGCGCAATGGGTTAAATCCTTGTGCTGGCAGGACTGGTTGACTGACAGGTTGGTAGTTTGAATCCAGGAAGCCTGGTGAGCTCCCATCTGTCAAGCTCTAGCTTATCAGACGGAGGCATGAGAGAAGCCTCCCACAGGTAAAACATCAAATATCTGGATGTCCCCTGGGCAACATTTTTGCAGACAGTCAATTCTCTCACACCAGAAGTGACTTACAGTTTTTCAAGTCACTTCTGACACAAAGTTATTGTTATTTTTATTGTTGTTGTTGTTATTGGAGTGGACTGGATGGCCCCTGGGGTCTTTTCCAATTCTTCCAAGATTATATTATTATTATTATTATTATTATTATTATTATTATTATTCTAACACAAAAACACAGTATGTCACAGCAAATGAAATATATATGCTGGATTACATATCACAAAATCACAAATCGAAAACTTCTCAAGCATCTAGTGTGATTTATTATTATTATTATTATTATTATTATTAGGAACGGGATGGCCCTTGGTGTCTTTTCTAGGAGTGGAGAAGAGGAAGCAAGAGGAAGATGGAGGAGGAGGAGAGAAGAACAAGGAGAGGAGGAGAGTGAAAGAGGAAGAGAAAACAAGAGAGGAAGAGGGGAAAGATGAAGGAGAAAAGAAGAAGAATGAGGAGAGGAGGAGAGCAAAAGAGGAAGAAGAAGAACAAAGAGAAGAGGAAAGGAGGAGAGGAAGAAGGAGAAGAATGAGGAGAGGAGGAGAGCAAAAGAGGAAGAAGAAGAAAAAAGAGAAGAAGAGGAAAGGAAAAGGAGAAGAGGAAGAAGGAGAAGAATGAGGAGAGGAGGAGAGCAAAAGAGGAAGTAGAGGAATTAGAACAAGGAAAGGAGAAGAAGGGGAAGAGAAAGCAAGAGTGGAAGAAGAAGAAAAGGGGAGAGGAGGAGGAGAGCAAAAAATGAAGAAATGGAAAAACAAGGAGGAGGAGAAGAGGAAGAGGAAGTAAGAGAGGAAGAATTTATATATTGCAAATGGTTATGCTGATGGTTTTATGTTAAGCCACTTTTGGGTCCCCTTTGGGGGAGATAAAGAGGGAAATAAATAAATATAAGGAGGAGGAAGAAAGATGGATGAGAAGGGAAGAGTAACGAGGAGAGCGAAAGAGGAAGAAGAGTAGGAGAGGAAGAAGAACAAGAACAAAGGAAGGTGGAGGAGAATAATCGAGTCTCAACCAATTCAACCTCATTTGTGCCACAAAAAGAATGACATTTCTGGAGTAGAACAATTCTTTTCAAAGTTAGGACCGCACAGTTAAACGGGACTGACAATTCCAAACCAGGAACAGAACAAAGCATGAGTTCCAGGGCAACAAACTTACCATTGACACCACCCATATAATTAAAAACGCTAAAAACTTCAGATTCCAGGGTCCACAGACGCCATGTGGGACTTTGACGTTGCGGAGATAGTACCCCACAACAAATGCCAGGTGGAGGAGAGCGAAGAGGACCACAAGCTCTGCGACTGCAGACAAGAGAGTCCACAGAACATCCATCCCATTTGCAGAGCGGGAGCCCGATGTGAGCGAGGAACTCTTCCAGAAAAACCTGGGAGTGTTTAGCAACGTGCTCGTTCCTGCCCCGGCCCCTTTATTTTAGCTTCGGGACAATTAGGTAAGAGAAGAGTTTATCAAAACGAGTTTTTCTTCTCTTTCTTCCTTTGCCCGACCGGCAATTAGAAAGCTGTCTCCCATGCATTCATGAATGAGGATCTTTAGAACTTGAAAAGCAGACGACGGCGGTAGGACAACATTTAAATACTTTCATGAATCAGAATGGGGATACCTATCCATAAATTATTTTTGGGATCCCAAGCAAACTCTGAAGCATCCTCCAACTTTTACTAAGTCAAGGCTAACCCACAATTCTTCCCAGAAGTGAAGAAATGTCATGGGGAGAGCAAGGAGCCACCTCGAGGTGAATCGGGGTGTCAATATACTTGCAGATGATCACCGTTTTGTCCTATAAGACCCTGCTTGAACTTACAAATCGGCTCGAGTTTTCACACCTGACAGAAGGCTTTTTCTCAGTCCGACCACCACCATCCCAGGCATATTTGGGATATTCATTGGTATCTTCCATCACCAGCATCATCAGCATCATTTTACTGACACGATTATTATTATTATTATTATTATTATTATTATTATTATTATTAATTTATTTTACTGACACAAAACACAGTATGCTCGAGTTTTCATACCTGACGGAAGGCTTTTTCTCAGTCCCACCACCACCATCCCAGGCATATTTGGGATAGTCATTGGCATCTTCCATCATCAACATCAACAACATCATCATCATCATTTTACTGACATTATTATTATTTATTTATTTATTTATTTTACTGACACAAAATCACAGTATGTCACAGCAAACGGATCTATATCACAATCACAAATCGAACACTTCCCAAGCATCTAGGACTGTGTGATGTATTTTCATATTATTATTATTATTATTATTATTATTATTATTATTATTATTATTAGAAACACAAGATGAGTCCATAGCAAACAAGATCACTCTGCTGGTTTTATATTTATTGGTTGTAAGCCACCCTGAAGCCTTTTGGGGAGAGAGCGGGATATAAATAATAATAATATTATTATTATTATTATTATTATTATTATTATTTATTTTACTGACACAAAAGCACAGTATGTCACAGCAAACGGATCTATATGCTAGATTTCGTATCAAAAAATCACAAGTCGAACACTTCCCAAGCATCTAGGACTGTGTGATGTATTTTCAAATTATTATTATTATTATTATTATTTGAAACACAAGATGAGTCCATAGCAAACAAGATCACTCTGCTGGTTTTATATTTATTGGTTGTAAGCCACCCTGAAGCCTTTTGGGGAGAGAGCGGGATATAAATAATAATAATAATAATAATAATAATTGTTGTTGTTATTATTATTATTATTATTATTATTATAAACACAACAAGATGGGTCCACAGCAAACAAGATCACTCTGCTGGTTTTATATTTATTGGTTCTAAACCACCCTGAGGCCTTTTGAAAAGAGAGCGAGATATAAATTATTATTATTATTATTATTATTATTATTATTATTATTATTGACACAAAAGCATAGTATGTCACCATTACTTTTCATCATGGCCTTGGAAACCCTCCTTAAGACAATTAAAGAAGATAATAACATCAAAGGAATGAAGATTGCAAAGCTGGAATACAAAATAAGAGCGTATGCCGATGACATCATCTGTACTATCGAAGATCCCACTAACAACATTCAGAATTGGATAGACACGCTAGAGGAATACGGTAAGGTATCAGGTTTTAGAATTAATAAAAGCAAGACGATGATACTAACCAAGAATATGGACCCGAGTAAGCAGAAAATACTGGAAGAACTAACGGGGTTCACGATTAAGAAGAAAATAAAATACCTAGGGATCTGGCTTACGGCCAAAAACGCTCAACTATTTAAAAACAACTATGAAATGACCTGGAAGAAGGTGAAATCGGACTTAGCAAGTTGGAAATTCCTGAATCTCTCCCTCCTCGGAAGAATCGGTCTGATCAAAATGAGTATCCTACCAAGACTCCTTTATCTTTTCCAAAACCTCCCCATCATAAGGAACAACAGAGTATTCCAACAATGGAATAAGGATCTAGAGAAATTTATCTGGAATGGGAAGAAGCCCAGAATGAAACATCAAATCATGATCGACAGGACAGAAAGGGGTGGCTTTGGACTCCCAAGCCTAAAAATTTATGCCGAGGCCTGTGCCCTATCCTGGGTGAAGGAATGGGCCACGCTCAGGAATGAAAAAATCTTAACATTAGAGGGATTTAATTTAAGAGTAGGCTGGCACACGTACCTTTGGTACGATAGATCCAAATTGGAGGGAAGTTTCAACAATCATTTTGTCAGATCTACCCTACTCAAAACCTGGATTAAATATAGAAGACATTTTTACTCCAAAACCCCTCTTTGGCTCTCTCCGACAGAGGCAATACATAGACGCCTGCTAGGATGGCAACAATGGCCAATTTACAAAAATATACTGGTGAAAAATAAAGAAAACAACCTATCGACTTTGAAAACACAAGAAGAACTGACCCGGATATATAAAAAATTAACGTGGCTACAATACTTCCAGCTCCGGGAATCATTAAAGCAGGATGGTAGGGTGGGGTTCGAAGAAAAAGAAACCTCCTGGGATATAGTACTAAAAACGGAAAAGAAAACCATCACTAAGCTCTACAATCAACTGTTAACCTGGGAGACAGAGACGGAGAAAATCAAAAACTGCATGATCCGTTGGGCCCAGAACATTGGGCGACCAATAAAAATACAAGAATGGCAGACCCTATGGCGGAAAAAACTAAAATACACATACTCTACAGCATTAAAGGAAAATTGGCTGAAGACATTTCACAGATGGTACCTAACACCGTACAAGTTGAGCCAGATGTATAAAAATCTTAAAAACTCTTGTTGGAAATGCAAAGAACACCCAGGCACTTATTTCCATATGTGGTGGACTTGCGCAGTGGTGAAAAAGTTCTGGCAAGAGGTACAAGAACAAGCCCAAATAATATTCGGGATAAAATTTCCTAGAAAACCGGAGTATTTTTTATTAGGGTTGACTGATGAGGACTTTAAACTTAGCAGCAATGAGGACATCTTATGGATGTATATATCAACAGCAGCACGTATCACCTTAGCAAGACACTGGAAGGAAGATAGTGTACCGGAAATCACAGAATGGCTTGATAAAATGGCGGAAATACGAGACATGGATAAACTGACTTACTTGATGAGACGTAGCTCTGGAAGGCCTATCAGACGGATTGGTCTAGCTTCGATGAATATGAAAAAATGAAATATGAATCACATAAAGACTAAGATTGAAATAGAAGAGACACAGACAGTCCGACGTTTTAATAGAGTAAGGCGCAGAGGAATTAAGGGGATCCATAAGGAATCCCCAGAGAATAGTTGAGGATTCTTTGTCTGGAAACCAAATGGAAGTCACTAGGCCTGGGTAACAACGGAAAAATTTGTTTCTAAAATCGATTTGTATTTGGGGTTTTTTTTGTTTCGATATTTAAAATAATTACAAAATTTTCCTTTTAAAAAGTTCGATATTTACGAAATTTCGTAAATGTGAAAAAAATTACAAAACATTAACGAATCGATTTCCGAAACAATAACGAATCGATTCGTTAATGGCGGACGCGACCGCGAAATACGCTAAAAAACCTCCAAAACCTTCTGAAGCTTCCCTCTCCCTCTGTTGTTGACTGTTGGTGTGATATTATAATTTTTTTTCACTAATTAAGCCATAAAACTGGCCCAGACATGCGGAAATAATAACGAAACGACCTCAAAACAATAACGAAACGAATACAATATCGAAATACGAAGCATTTACAAAACGTTTTTGAAAATTCGTTTTTTTAATAATTGCTCCAGAATGGTTCGTTATCGTTTTGTAATTGAAAAAATTAACGAATTATTAACGAATTACGAATTAACGAAACGAAACCGCCCAGCCCTAGAAGTCACTACCGCCCATCTCCACCTATGTAAGGCTGGACCTGGGAACAAGGTTTTGTCTGTTTATGTTTCTATATTATTATTGTGTATTGTGTATTTTGTATACATCACTAACCCTTCCCCAACTAGGCCCCTCCCTTTATGCCTTTCCTCCCTCTTCTCCTCCCTCCCCGATTTCTTCCCCCCCCCATTTCCCCCCTTTCTCTTTCTCCCCCTTCTTCGTCCTACCTCCCACATGTGTTGTAGCTTGTTCGTATTTTGTATATGTATTTAAAATCAATAAAAATTTAAATAAAAAAAGCATAGTATGTCTCAGCAAACAAGATCTATATGCTGGATTTCGTATCAAAAAATCACAAGTTGAACATTTCCCAAGCGTCTAGGACTGTGTAATATATTTTCGAATTGTTATTATTATTATTATTATTATTATTATTATTATTATTATTAGAAACAGAAGATGAGTCCATAGCAAACAAGATCACTCTGCTGGTTTTATATTTATTGGTTGTAAGCCACCCTGAAGCCTTTTGGGGAGAGAGCGGGATATAAATAATAATAATAATAATAATAATATTATTATTATTATTATTATTATTATTATTATTAGAAACACAAGATGAGTCCATAGCAAACAAGATCACTCTGCTGGTTTTATATTTATTGGTTGTAAGCCACCCTGAGGCCTTTTGGAGAGAGAGCGGGATATAAATAATAATAATTATAATAATTATTATTATTATTATTATAAACACAACAAGATGGGTCCACAGCAAACAAGCTCACTCTGCTGGTTTTATATTTATTGGTTGTAAGTCACCCTGAGGCCTTTTGAAAAGAGAGTGGGATATAAATAATTATAATTATAATTATAATTATAATTATAAGTATAATTATAATTATTATTATTATTATTATTATTAACACAACAAGATGGGTCCACAGCAAACAAGCTCACTCTGCTGGTTTTATATTTATTGG